ACGGGGTTTCACCATGTTGACCAGGATGGTCTCGATCTCTTGACCTCGTGATCCACCCGCCTCGGCCTCCCAAAGTGCTGGGATTACAGGCGTGAGCCACCGCGCCCGGCCCAGAAAAATCTTAAACTGTTTTGGATCAAAGCCCATTTGCAAAGCTGAAGGAAAGTATAAACCTCTCTTCTAAGTATCATTTTTCTTTTTTTAGAGACAGGGTCTCGCCTAGGCTGGAGGGCGGTGGCATAATCATAGCTCACTGCAGCCTCCAACGCCTGGGCTCAAGAGATCCTCCCACCTCAGCCTCCTGAGTAGCTGGGACTACAGACAGGAAACACCTCATTTGACTAATTTTTGTATTTTTATTTTTTGTAGAAAATGTATTTTGTAAAAATAAAAAATTTAAATTAAAAAAAATTTTGTATTTTTATCTTTTGTAGAAAATGTTGCCCAGGATAGTCTCAAACTCCTGGCCTTAAGCAATCCTCCTACCTTGGCCTCCCAAGTAAGTGCTGGAACTACAGGCGTGAGCCTCAGTGCCTGGACCCAAAAGATGCTAAAACCCTTTCCCAGAAGTGATGCTTTTTTTAAAGACCGAGTCTCGCCTAGGCTGGAGTGTGGTGGTAGCTACTTTGGGCTGGAAAATGGCCATCGATGGACTCAGGGAATCTTGCAGAGAGTTTGTCCAGCTCGCCCAGCTCCTGGGGCTCGGATTTCACAGGATGGGTGTGGGGAGAGCAGAGAAGAAAGGCAGACAGAGGCCAGCCCAGCAGGTCAGTGAGCTCCCACGCCTGTAATCCCAGCACTTGGGGAGGCCAAGGCCAGTGGATCACAAGGTCAGGAGATCGAGACTATTCTGGCTAACATGGTGAAAGCCCCTCTCTTCTAAAAATACAAAATTAGCTGGGCGTGGTGGTGTGCACCTGTAGTCCCAGCTATTGGGGAGGCTGAGGCGGGAGAATTGCTTGAACCTGGGAGGCGGAGGTTGCAGTGAGCCAAGACTGAGCCAGTGCACTCCAGCCAGGGGAGAGAGTTAGACTCTGTTAAAAAAAAAAAAAAAAAAAAAGTGATGCTCATACCCTGGGTTTGAACCCTGAACACTCCTTGAGGTTAGAGACCTTTATAAACAAAGTCCCACTGAATAGGTGAGGGGCACTAAGCAGGATGTGCCTGGCCACCGGTTTCCCCAAGGCAGTGCCGTGAAGTGAGACAGCCACCAGATGTGCATGGTGCCTGGTGGGCACCCCCAGCCCTGCCCCTACCAGCCAGTGGGTGCCAGCATACCCCAGCCATCCAAGGACCAGGCAGGTGAGAGGCTGTTCCAGCTGAGGGCCCATTCTGAGGCTCCTCTGCAACTCCCTGGAAGCTGTATGAAGGGAGAGAATCTTCCTCACATCACTTTTTTTTCTTTCTCTCTTTTTTTTTTCCTCTTGATACGGAGTCTCACAAGGTTGCCCAGGCTGGAGTGCAGGGGTGCGATCTTGGCTCATGCAACCTCCACCTTCTGGGTTCAAGCGATTCTCCTGCCTCAGCCTCCTGAGTACTTGGGATTATAGGT